CATGCCAGGGATTGTTCCGCCGAGTTTCGAAAATTGCTATCTCCGTTTTTCAACGTTTCGCGTTACAGAGACACGTGCGTGCTCACAAATCCACGTACATACAAATAATTTCATAAATTTTTATATTCTAATGTATGTTTCTTTTATTTTTTTCTTTATTATTTATTCTTTATTAAATGAAAAAATTTTTTAAACTTTTTTAATTTATTTGATCACACTGTATTAAACAAGGGTAGTTTTAAGGTTATATCTCATTCTACTGAAGCTGATCTTACCTAATCTATGAATCCGTTCAAGGCATATTTAATTTTATATGACAAATTTCCAGAAAATATGACACTTTAATATTTTTGAGAGTCGCTGAACACAAATCTAAAAATTCAAAATGGAAGATTTAATATAGTGTCGTTATTAAATTTATAAAATTTAATTTTACAAATTTTTAAAATTTTGTCGACTGTATTAAATCTATCATTTTGAATTTTTATAATAAATTTAGATTCGTGTTCAGCGACTCCAAAAATATAAAAATGTTATATTTTGCAATAATTTTTCTTTTAGAATTAAATGTGCTCCGTAATGGATTCATAGATTAGGGTAAGGTCAGTTTCAATGAGATCAGATACAATCTTAAAACTACCTTTGTTTGATTTACTTTTTATCCTATAGTAGTATTTTATTTGTATAAGAATAGTTGAATCTTTCGTTTTAAATTTTGTGGAAGTTTGTAGCATATCCCAGAGTTATTAATTATCGAAAAATGCCAAAATTTCTATTTTTAGCAATTTTCACAGCAAATTTCTCAAAATCCTGATGTAATTTCACGCTAGATTCGTGTTTAGCAGCCAAAAGTACATAAAAAATGGCTTGTGAAATCTTAAGGCAAATGAAAAGTTAATTTTTTTTGTTGCTCAGTGAAATTAATTTATTTGTGCTCTAGCCATATATAAACATCAGTATATAGTTTGATTGTATCTGTAATAGCATATATTAATAAAGAGAAGAATTCTGCGAAAATAATTCTGCAAGTTATTAATAATTCCTAGAGAATTTATAAATGCGTCATGGATTAACTCCACCTCCTGCAAAGCTGTCGATAAGACCGAAGAAGATTGAGGAAGTTATTTGCACAAGACGAGAAATTACCTTCCTTCGTTCCTGCAATGTCTCGTATCCGAGCGTGTTCTCGCTATCTTATTACGCGCACGTGTCTTCGAATGTGTAGCGTTGGTGTGTGTTTCTTGTGTGTGTGTGTGTATGTGTGTATGTAACCTACGCCTGCGCTACGGCGATATCGTTTGTGATAATGCATGTGCCTAGTACAGATCTCCCGGTCGAACGATCATCCTCCGCCATATAGCGATGTTCTCATTACATTCGACTTTGCACATTCACACGCGAGATAATAGCCGTGACCGTCGCTAGTCCGCGAGAATGTACGTTCTTCTCGGTCCATTTCGAAAAATTGAACCGAAATGACAGAGGACCGATCGTCGAATCCGAATACGTCGTGACGTTCGAGTATTTCTTCAGCTCGGGTTATTTCCCGTCTTCTCCGCGCTACTCGGCACGTAGAGGAAAATTGTCAGACTTAGAAAAAAAAAGCAGTTGCAGCGAGTCGCTCGTACGCTTTGTTCGATATATCGCAAGCAAGTTCAATGAGAAAGGGAGAGAAAGAGAAAGAGAGAGAGAGAGAGAGAGGGTGGCAGGGAGGGAGAGAGAAAGGGTTCGAGGTGCCAGAGACTCGCCAGGGGAATGAAACCTGATTTAGGACTGCGGTCCAGAAATCTCCCAAGAGACCCTCCAGGCTGACCACCGCGCACTCGCTTCGCTTTCCAGTGTCCCTCCGAGTGCGATCCTCGCCCTCTACCACTACCACCTTTTCTCTACCAGCTCTCTTCGGTGTTCCACGTCCAATGTCCCCCGTGTCCCTGGACGCCAACAAGTGCGACTCTTTACCAACATCGCGTCGGAAATGCGTCCGGAATACTGAAGACCCCTTCAAGAGTATTGCGGCAGGATATATTATAATAAAAAAAAAAATCAATTTAATTGTTATATCACGTACTATTCGGTTTGAGGTGCGTTTTAAAGACCGATGATTATGCGGCGTTTACTAATTGTGTAGTTTACTAATTGAACTGAGAATTGTAAGATTCACATATACACTTTTAATCATGTATCGCCTAGTACCTCCAAATTCGAGGTATTTTTTTACATGGAAATGACATCTCGAGTTACACACTAAAAGAATTTGTTGCGGTACATTAGCTCGAGGTACGGAATATATTAAGGTAATAATAAATTTGGCGATACAATTGGAGGTACTGCTCTTCTGCATCTGAAAGTACTGCATCTGAATTCGCGATACTTTTCTTTTGGAGGTATAAGACTCCGAGTTCGTACCTCGTGTATATAATACGAGGTACAAAATTTTGCGTATGTATCTCAAATTTATAAATAGGACGTACTCAGCGGTAAAAATGTATCTCCAGTATTTGGCAAATCCTTGATCAAATGACGAGACAATTGATTAAAGATTTCATATACCTCCAATTTTTGGCGGTACATATTTAAAAGATATATTTATGTCCCTCGTAATTACGTAAGATTTTTATTTCAACATATACCTCCAATTTTTGGCGATACATGATTAAGAGTGTAAAAATATTATTATAATATTATTATTAAGCGCCAAAATCCGTTTTGCACCGTGTTTGCGTTTGTTTAAAAAAAGAACTAGGTCGATGAAAAAGAGGATATAAAACGGAGGAGTAATGCGAATGAGATTAGATTTTCTGTGAGATACATCACTGTGAGATACATCATTTCGTGACAGTTAAAAGATTTCGTAGAATTAACGAAGGCAAAATTTAGTGCTAGAGAATAATTTAATGTGCCAGTGAATACAATGTCCAGACTCATTTAAACCGCGGGCTCCTTCTCTCTTGAGAAAATATTTCAAAGTAGCGGGAAAGAGCGAAATTTTTATACGGAGAGACAATACTGGCGGGCGGAGACTTTTCATTCGATATACGTTTATACCCATACTCGTTTATACCATACTTCAAAACTTTCCTTTGGCTCATATAATATCTAGATTCGACCGCTTTTATATCGAGCATTCTTGCGAGGCGTAGAACGAGAAGCGGGCCGGCCGGAGGCGAAGTTTCGCAGACGAGGGCCATGGGGGAAGGAAAGGAATAAGCCGTACAGCCCCGGAAAAGGAGGAAGAAGAGGAAGACGCTCCTGGCACAGCCTGGCGTGTAGGTTACTACGTGCCTGCTCGCCGTGGCATCCCGTGACCGTGGTCTGGCTTAAGGATTCGGGTCAGGCTGTAACCTGCCTCGATTGCAAATATAGGGAAACACTTTTGGAGGCGCTGCCAAAACCAAAACTCAAGTGGCACCGAGGGGACGGGCGTCGAGTGCCACGGCGCGACGAAAAACGCGAAAATTTAATCGGCCCTTGCCGCGCCGATTCTCCGAATTTTATCCTGCAATTTCCACGCCGCGTGTATATATACTATATATAGATATATAACTCATTCGGAGAAATCCGTAAACCTCTCTGCCGCTACCGGAGCGCGGAAACCGAAGAAGATAGCTTGCCACGTCGTTCAATCTGTAAAATCAGTAACCTTTAAACTTTTCCCACAGCTTTTCGCCCACTAACCATTTCCTTCTCGGAGTACGAATTTAATGCCCGGAGTATTTATGTGGAATGCGGATGTTATACCACTGATATACCATTAGCATATCGCTAGAACTCGTTTTGCTAATATTTTATGCCTTTAAAAATGGAGCATTCACTTGTCACATACATATACGTGATAATAAAGTACATATATATGTTGATAATAAAATACATATATATACGTTGATAATAAAATATTACCGATAGATTTTGTTGCCGTCGTAAGAGATATATTCGCAGATATACGCTACACACGCCTCGACTCGTGAAAAATACGCGTTTCGCTCAAAAACGCTCAAAGCACGCAATGTCACGGAAAAATAGCACACCCTTTGTCACCGGATATGAATCTTATTGAGCATACTTGGAATATGCTCCCACAGACGGCGGTGCAAGAATGCACCCGCGAAGCGGCGAAAGCTCGCAGCTGCAGTCACTGAAGAATGGGCCGACATACCGCGAGAAGTTCTTCGCCATCTTTTTTCGAGGCTCGCGCCCGTCATGTAAAATTGTGGAGGTAGAAAATGTAAAATTCGTGCGAGCCGGCGGATATTAAAACGAGGATAGCCCACGGAGCATAAATCGTGTCAAGTATCTACGCAATAACTTATCCCTTTTCATTTCCATCCTTCGCGCCCTTCATAAATAGATATACACGAAGCGATGCAAAGTAGCTCTTCCAGCGGAAAAAATAACATCTCGCTGCCATTTCGAGCACACGTGAATCCAACACCTGCTCTGACTGATTTTATTTAAAAGAAGCGCAATAACGAAGCACTTTACGAATAATTTAAAAAGCTTGTCATTATAAGATGTCTACGTGTTAGTATAAGTACAATGATCCTATCAGATAATTATAGATGATAAAAATTTGCTCGTTGCAACAGTTTTTTAAGAATAGCGCTTGTTCTAAACAAATATTCCAGAAAAATTTTACCTACAGAAATTATATAACTACACCTATAGAAACTACGGCTGCTTTCCTTTTCAGAAACAAAGTCGACACACGTCACTTTCAATTTGCAATTTTGTTTAAACTCACTCGATACTCTTCGAGTCTTCTCAGGAGAGTTGGAGTGTGTTTTGAATAATTATTAGAAAACGCATCTGCAAGCTGGCTCCTAACACTTTGTCTGTTAATCTGTGTCGATTTATGTCTCCTAAAAGAAAAGCGATATACCTATTCCGAACTTCACATTAGAAACTAAAGGAAATGGTATGTGTGTCGCGCGCATACAGCGTACGCAATACAGATCGCTAATTGGATTGCGAGAAGTAATTTTCCTGGGCTGCACGTTCAATACCTGGCTGATAGAGATAAAGGTCCGCGGCGCGCGGCCACACAATCGCCGAGCGCTCCACGCTGCCTGGTTTGATTCCGCGTGCTTGCGGATCTCGGAAGTCCCACGAAGTGTCGCAAGCCACGAGTGAACCGCCGTGTTCTCTCGTCTCTCGTTCGGTCACACAGTACGCGCGTATATACGTCGTTCTTTCACGAGTCCACGTTGTCCCCTTCGACGGAATCGCGATGGTCGAGCGTCGTCATCCCTCTCCTTCTGTTCGCGACATGTACACTTCGTTTATCGACAGCGGAACGGGGCGGGGGCGAACACGTGTCGTCGTCGCGCACAAAAAAAAACGAAACGCCTGTCCTCACAATGCAGCAAACACTTACCGAGTACCGTTCACGTTCACGTACAGATTAACGCCGAGCGTGCCCAGAGGCACCATGAATAACGGAGTACTGGAGCTCACTGAGTGAGAGAGCGCAAGAAGAAAATCCACTTATTCGCTATATACGATCACTCACGATAAGTCTAAACTACGCGCGCGGAACGTACGCGAGAGGGTTGCGACCACGAGCGCCGCCGGTACGCATCCCCGACCGACCACGTGAGCTAAGAGCGATCCGATTCAACTCCACGTGTCCTCGATCTCCTTTGAACTGACTGGCCTGCGAATAAATGTCGAGTCAATTCGTGGGACGGACACCCACGATGGAACAAATCTCGTGTCTTGGAACGTAGAACGGAGAGAACAGCACTAAATCGTGAGCTCACGGTCAGAGAGCTCTGCGACGGTCGCGCGTGGTCAGTATACTCGCGTTACAATTAAACCACCAACGTTACGAGCAAAACATCAATAAACATCACCACCGATACGCGGGGGAAGTGTCGTCGTTCCGAACTCGCCACCCCTCGTTGTCCCCGCACGACGAACGCTCCTCGTGCTAGGTGTCACTCGACTCCAAAACGCTGGTACCGCCGGCGAGAGTGTCGTCCGCGTGACTACCGACCGTCCTCCGCCTCGTCGTCGTCGTCGTACACATCAAGGAGAAAGGGCCGCGTCACTTCGGAGCGGAGTGGACGCGAACAGACGGCGGGCCAGCCGCGGGAAGAAAATCACGTCGCGAGCGGTTCGTCGAGCGGCTGGCGGCAACGGCGACGCGTCCTCTCCCACCGACGGAAAAATTCGAATCCGAAAATCCTCGGTGCGGTATTAACCAGGTCTCGCGTATCGCAAATTCCCTCTCCGGAATCGCGGACCGACGAGATAGCGAAGAGGGTGGCGACGGCGGAGGGGTGGATAGGGGGAGATAAAATGAAAGGGTCCACGACGAGCTGAGGTTCTCCAGCTGATCGTCGCACGATCAACTCGGCGATGTACAACTCGTGTACTCCGGCAACGACGCCGCCTCCTTTACCAAAACGTGGAGATGGTGTACACTGCGGTCGCTCTCCGCACACTGAGGATAGCTGACGTCACGAGCCCACCACGCGGAGGTGGTCTCGCGAGCGACGGTTTCGCGCCGGCGCCCGCGGCGGCTGCGATCCCTATAGGCACACACAGTGCCAGTACAACCCTGCGCGCCGGTGTGTTCTCTTTCTCTCTTCTCTTTCTCCTTCTCTCTCTCTCTCTCTCTCTCTCTTTCTCTCTTTTTCTCCCTCTCTCTCTGCCGGCGCTTGTGTGTGACTACGTATATATTCCATCTACCAATACCACCGACGCGATTCGTTCCACCTACGAACAGCAGCCGAGTAACGGTTTAACCGTCGACGGAGGAGCTAACACCTAATGGGGTTTTACGTTACGTCACGTTGGGCACGGTCAAAGAGAACAAACCCGTGCATACGGGGGATCAATTTCGAGACGGAAAAACGGGAACCCGTGACTAGTAATTGATTGTAACACGTGCATATCGTAATCTCGAGTGTGCCTGATCTTGCATGTGATTCAGATGTAATTTGTGAGTTTCAGGACGTATAAATATGATTAATACGAATAATATTATAAAAAAACAGAATATATAAACTTGTTAATACGTGTTACAATTGAGATAACTAGAAATTATTTTCTGTAATAAAAGAGAAAATATATAATAATAGAGAAACTGTATAATAATAAAATAAACATTGTGTGTACATTATTCATAAAAATAATAAACTCTAGTAAATAACGCAGAAACGTTAGAAATCGGTATAATGTAGAAATGTCTACAAAATATTCAGCACATAACAATATCACAGCTGCTAGAACCTTCACCAATTCATAGCTCTGTCTGGCGTAAGTAGTAAAAGCGGGATGTGCTCAGACAGAATTTGAGACCCGTCGCGCTCCGATTATTTCAACTTATTATTAAAATGTGTTTGATAAATGTTCTATGAATGAATTTTATTTTTACAGACAAACAAAAAGAAAGAATAAAAACACGCCGATGAAACTCGTTCAGTAATAAAAATTATATGTATATAATTACAGCTTTATACGATTATTAATAAAATAGTCCATATATTAATATTGAATTATTTCGTATATTATGCAATTATTTTTGTCTTATTCGCCTCAATTAATAATCATTCATCGCAAATGTACCATGATGTTAACATGACCGCGTATACATTACAAATGAAATGCGTTTAATAAAAAGATTTAATAATACGTATATCGTCGGAACGATAAAGCACGAACTTCTCTCGTTGGGCGGACAACGCGATATTTTATCCATACTGATTTGAAAACAAAGGGATAAAACCGATTGGCCGTTGGTCTTGCGGTATTATCCATGATCCTCAAGCTGATCCTCCACAAACAGGAAACCTAGGGCATGAAATTCCGAAGAGAAAGCTTGGGAGCCCTATCGGACCGTCGTTATGGGTGGAAAGTTTCGGTGGAAGTTTCTTCCCCAACTCCGTCAACTCCATAAGGAAACGACGGAGAAATCCGAATCCAAGAGATGAAGGATCGGCAAGGATGACGCTACTCTGCGAGAATGTGCAAAAGTAGACAATTTCGGAAGAGAAAGAGAGAGGCGAACTTTTTGGTGCCGAACATTATTCTATATATACTTTTGACACCTATATTTATGGAGTAATGTCGATTCACATTTATCAAAAATTTTTAACAAGCGAATCGTACTGAAATAATTCCGATTTATTTCGATCATTATTATATTCTAGTGCCGTATTTTAATATTTAACATTACTAATATATTAATTAAATTATATATTTAAAATTAAAATTATATGTTATGTATGTATTTTTTTTCATATTTTTTATATTAATCATACTTAAAACTGTAAACCGCAAATTATATCTCATTCTCATGCATAGCTCCCCGACATATTTATATAAGGTATCTAAAATATGTATATATGTACATGCGTTTAATCAATTACTCTTTTACGGATTTCCATTTTCTACCTAAAAATTGATCTTACCAAGGGTATAGTGCTCAATCGATAAACGGATTAAATCGAGACGCCATAAGCAACGGACCGATATTACAAGATCGCAGGCTCGTCATGAGCGAGCAGCTCGGTTTAAACAGATGTCAGTCAGTATGTAGGTTGACGCAGCATGCTGGGAGCAGAAATGTTGAGGGTCTAAGGAAGGGAAAGAAAGAGAGATAGGAAGCTCGCAAGAGAGAACAGCCACCCGTCAATCTCGCTCTCGTTCCATCTCCATCGCTCAATCCCTCTTTCTCCCTCACTCACGGTCGCCGGTGGCGTTGGGTGGGCTGATGGTAGGAGGTGGATGGAAATCAATAGCCCTGAATAATGAACCCCAAGGCAGCACCCTCTCTCCGCTCTCTCCACGGTCTGGAGCAGTCTCTCATGCATCCTCTCGTTCGAAAGCGGGAGGGAGAGTGAGAGGGAAAGGGAGAAAGAGAAAGAGAGAAAGAGAAGGAGAAAGAGAGCGAGAGAGACATGGGGGGTGTTCTCGCTTCGTCTCTTTTCCTCCTCTTCTTCCTCCTTCAATCTTCTTCGCCTCTCCTCGCCAGCGGAGGCCCTACTGAACCCTTCTTCTCCTCGTAGCCGAACGGAGGTGTTTGTGTCCTCTCCTAGTCCCCAACTTTGCTACGAGACCCCCTCGAACCCAATTCGGATAACCGACGGAAGAGAAGGAGGAGGAGGAGGAGGAGGAGGAGAAGCAGGAGGACACGGAAAATGATTACCCTCCTCCTCCTCCTCTTCTCCCTTCATCTCGTCACCCCCCC